CGTCATTCTTTCTCTTCCCATATCCAACAACAACACACAACCACAAAGCAAGATGGCTGTGCTTTCTGTTGCTGGGAAGCGGCGGCGCGCGTGGTGGGCGCTTGCTGCCTCTATCGTCTTCTCCACGGGGATGATCGCCTTTGTCCACCTCAACCAGAACAAGGAGCGCGAGGTGCGTGATGATGCGGGGGACAGGCGGCGGCAGTGGCTGGTGTGCACGTGTCTGCATGTGTGTGCATGTGTGTGCATGTGCGTGTGTGTGCATGTGCGTGTGTGTCAATGTGATTACAGCTTGCTGGAGTCCTGTGACCACCTTTGGCCGCACTGCCCACAGCGCTCACCGTGCTGCCCGCTCTCATTGCGCTGCTTGTGCACAGGCGTTGCATGAGGGGGTCATCAAGGATATGGAACGACAGGAGCGCAAGCGGCTCAACAGGATTGAGCAGGAACAGCAGATGGAGCTGCGACGGCAGCTTGAGTTGGAAGAGAAGCGAACACTGGAGCAGCAGCAGCAGCAGCAACGCAAGTCGCAATAGCCAACCACGCACGACTCTATGAGCGCGCCACCCTCCGTCTAGCTTCCCCACCTCTCCTCTTACACCCTCGCCCGCTCACTCCCTCGCCCTCGACCAGCCGATACCGCTGCCCTCCCTGCCTCCCTGCTTTGCTATTCTTTCTCGCCTCCTCTCCTCTCGCGCGCCCCACGCAGGATGTGCTTGGAGCATGGAGGGGGCTTGTTACTCTAACCATAAGGCCACATGGTGTTCGGTTGTCGCACTTACTCCGCCATTAAACACGACTTGTGTGTGAACACGCTGCTCCCATATCCAACCACTGAACACACGCGCGCGCACAAAGCATGGGCGGCGAGCAGGAGAGCGGCGTGTCGGAGTACGAGCGCCTACGCCAGGAGAACATCCGGCGCAACTTGGAGAAGCTGCAGGCCCTCGACCTGCTCTCGTCGCCCTCGCTCACGACAGGCTCCGCCAGTGCTTCCACCACAACGACAGCAAGCACAACAGGGTCCTCGTCGTCGTCGCAGCAGAAAGAAGCGGGTAAGAAGCCGCCAGCCCCACAGCTACCACGACGCCGCTCCCAGCGACTGGCACAGCTCAAGCACCGGCCCAGCCTCAAGGAGCCATCTGTTCCTCGGGCGCCGACGTCGTCCAAGCGCCGCCACGAGCAGGTGTGTGTGTGTGTGTGTGTGTGTGTGTGTGTGTGTGTGTCTGTGTCTGTGTGGCTGTGTGTCTGTGTGGCTGTCTGTCTGTGTGCGTTCAAGCCACATCCATCTCCTCTTCTCTACGATACGTGTCTCATGTTGACCTGTGGACGTGTGTGCAGGCAGACAACAGCGCCGAGGATGCAGATGCACAGGCCAAGTTCTGGTCAAAGCGGCCGCCCCACTACACATCCGACGACGCCAGCGCCACTGCCAAGACTGAGCAGCAAGCACGGAGTGCAGCACACAGCGCCATCGCCAACGCCAAGTATGGGCGGGTGTCCTGTAAGCAGTTACGCGCCAACGTGGAGCGCATGGTCTTGCAGCATCTCGGTCGCTCCATTCCACGCATCGGCGGACAGGTGTGTTTGTGTGTGTCTGTGTGTGTGTGTATGTGTGTGTGTATGTGTGTGTGTGTGTGTGTGTGTGTGTGTGTGTGTGTGTGTGTGTGTGTGTGTGTGTGTACGTCTGTGGGTGTCTGTGTGTACGTCTGTGGGTGTCTGTGTGTACGTCTGTGGGTGTCTGTGGGTGGGTGGGTGTATGTATGGGTGTGCTGCATGTGTCTCTCCGTCTCACTGTTTGCCTGTGTATCGACTTGTGCGTGTGTGATGACACGCGTCTCCGTGCCATACCACGTGCGATCATCACTCATCCCTGTGCAGGTGAAGCGGGCTGTAATGGAGCTTGCCGCTGCTCCGCACAGCGTCACCTTCAACCGCATGAGCGGCATCCAGGAATGGGCAAACGCCGTCTTCCTCTTTGTCAACATCAACCCCTCAGGGTGAGGCCGTACATACGTGTGTCTGTGTGTCTGTGTGTCTGTGTCTGTGTGTCTGTGTCTGTGTATGGGTGAGTTATGCCTACCGCAGTGTCGTTGATGTCTGCAATCTGGACTTCGCAGGTACGACAACGTGTTTCTCGACGGCGGCCGGATGCTTACGTGGTTCGCACAACCAACCCAGGTAATGCTAGTCACGCCCTCGAAGCCATAGCCTACAGACACACACACAAGCACGTACAACCCCGCACACACACACTAACACATTTACACGCTCACCCACATACATACATACATACACACTCACTCACTCACTCACTCACTCACTCACTCACTCACTCACTCACTCACTCACTCACTCACTCACACACTCACACACTCACACACACACTCACTCACTCACACACCCACTCACTCACGCACTCACGCACTCACACACACACACGCACACACTCACTCACTCACACACCCACTCACTCACACACACACACACACACAACATGTGCAGAAGCCAACGACGCCCGTGATTGTGAAGCTGCTGCAGTATGGCCAGATGCCCATTCTCCCGCCCAATGGTCCCGTTTTCGCTACTGAGAAGCAAGGCAACACAGCAACTCAAGCGACAGTCACAACGAATGCTGAGGTACTCAGCTCACTGCCACACAACAGCCACGATTGCGCCAGCAGCACAGCAGATGCTGATTACGACACTGCCTACGAACACACATACGACGACGGGAACGACCACCACCGCCAGATTGATTACCGGCATTATGAAGTAGATGGTGATGTTGTTCGGAGTTTGGTTGACGAGTGTGTGCTGCTGTTCTGCCGGCTGCCTGGCCAGGACTACGTGTGCCTTGGACGCCTTCGATGCGAGAAGACAGATCTGGATGCCCGGCCAATGCGTTTCCTTTGGCGCTTAATCGACCATGGTCACCTTCTCAGGTCCCCTTCCTTTCTTCAGATGCTTCCAGCACCGTGACGCTCGTGCGTGTGTCTGTCTGTCTGTCTGTCTGTCTGTCTGTCTATCTCATCCTATGCAACAGTATGTGTGCATCTCATTGGCTTGTGGTTCTCTCCCGTGGCGCGGCTTTGTCTTGCTCGCGGGCTGGATGAAGCTAGTGTCAAGTTTATTTCGAGTGTACGGAAGTCCGAGCTGGCCGTACCAAGGAACAACACGCAAAGTCGTGTAACACAACAGAACAGAGAGACAATGCTCAATCAACCAATCAATCACATCGATCACACCAATCAAGGGCAACTACAACTACCATCGCAACTCACACAACGACAGCCACCACCACCACCAACAACAACAACAACAACAACAACAACAACAAAAACAACAACAACAACAACAACAACAAAAACAACAACAACAACTTCGACTCGCACAATGGCTGGCCGTGACTGCTACTGTCTGGCTTTCTGGTCTCTTCCTCTGCCCGCCCCTTTCACTAGAACACACTCACGCCCGCGCCTGCTCTCACATCGTGTAACGCACGCATACACGGCACAGCAATGGCTCAAAGAGGGCAGAAAACACAAGCACACTCTCAGGCCTCCGCCTTGTGCTCGCCCCACACCTGCTTTGAAATCCACACGGGCCACTCAAGGAAGGAGACATTGTGGGATCTTGCACGCGCAAACAGCTCTGCCACACTTGCATTCTGAACACCGGCAGCAACAATAGCATGAACACGGCAAGCGCAGGACCAAGCAACAAAGAGTGAGCATCAGCGAAAGCATGATTGAAAGCAAGCACACACTCAAACTCATACAACGGCAGCAATAGACAACAGGACGCAAAGCACATTGCTTCCCTCAACTGGCAAACAATAACAAACATCGAGTGTACTGACGGGTGCAAGCTTGCCCGGGTTCTCCTTCTCATAGTTGATGCGCAAGGCGAGCACAAGGTTTGCAAAGTACACCTGCACACAGCAAAGCAAACAAGGTTGAGTCAAACAAGGACATCCGTAAGCTATCGCAGAAATGCAACGGTTCACTCCCACCAATCCCAAGAGCATGAAGAGCAGGTTCATGTGCACATGTAGACATGTACACATGCACACACGCACGCACGCACACACACACACACACGCATATGTACTCGGACTCCAGTCCACACAGTCGTCTCATACCCGCTCGAGAATGAGTTGGTTCTGCTGCAGTTCGCCCAGCTCCTTCTGTGCCGTCTCAAGGCTGGCCTTGCACCGTTTCCCCGCCACTTTCTCCTGCTGCAGCTCCTTGCACACCTCCGCAAGTTGCGTGACAAGCTGGTTCTTGTACGCCTCAGCGGCAACAGCAACAGAAGACGAGCGTGACACGGCTTGCTGCAGTTGCTGCATGCTGTCCGCGTGATCACCGAGTTCAGAGTTGACCTCTTGCCTCAGATTGGTCATCCACTGTCGCACCTGTTCAAATGCTTCGCGAACACGAGCAACTACAAAAACAGCAGGTCAAACGCAACACGACAACAAACTCAACAATGAATGGTACAACCTTACGCATTGCTGGCATCAAGCACATCATCGCAACTCGCCAAATACGCATGATGGACTGCGCAGATCATTACCTTGTGCTTGGCGTTGCTCTACAAGCGCGGCCTCTGCGGCCGTGTGCTTCGCCTCATATTCAGCACGCAGCGCAGACGCAGTGGAATCGAGTGCTTTGTCTGCCTGAGCGTGTGCTTCTGCAAGTTCGTCTTGGTGTCTTGAACTCAGTGCTTGCAAGCGAGCATTGCTCGCCTTAATAGCACTGGAAAGCTCTTCGATTCGCACGCGAAGCACAATTGCTTCCTGATCAAGCGCTTGCACGGTTGCATTGTGCTCAGCCTTGATGCTATCCACATGGTGTGCGTGCTCAGCCTTGATGGTGTCGACTTGCTGTACGTGCTCAGCATCCTTCTGCTCAAGCTGCTGTGCATGCTCAGCCTTGATGTTGTCCACATGGTGTGCGTGCTCAGCCTTGATGTTGTTGACCTCTTGCGCATGCTCAGCCTTGATGCTGTCAAGCTGCTGTACGTGCTCGGTCTTGATGCTGTCAAGCTGCTGTGCGTGCTCAGTCTCCTTCTGCTCCAGCTGCTGCGCATGCTCAGCCTTGATGCAGTTGACATGCTGTGCGTGCTCAGCGTCCTTCTGCTCAAGCTGCTGTGCGTGCTCAGCATCCTTGTGCTCAAGCTCCTGCGCATGCTCAGCCATCTTCTGCTCAAGCTCTTGCGCATGCCCGGTCTTGATGCAGTCGACATGCTGTGCGTGCTCAGCATCCTTTTGCTCAAGCTGCTGTACGTGCTCAGCCTTGATGCAGTCGACATGCTGTGCATGCTCAGCTTCCTTGTACTCAAGCTCTTGCGCATGCTCAGCCTTGATGCTGTCCACATGCTGTGCATGCTCAGCCATCTTCTGCTCAAGCTGCTGTGCGTGCTCAGCATCCTTCTTCTCAAGCTGCTGCGCATGCTCAGCATCCTTCTGCTCAAGCTGCTGCGCATGCTCAGTCTCCTTCTGCTCAAGCTGCTGTGCGTGCTCAGCACCCTTCTTCTCAAGCTGCTGTACGTGCTCAGCCTTGATGTTGTCCACATGGTGTGCGTGCTCAGCCTTGATGTTGTTGACCTCTTGCGCATGCTCAGCCTTGATGCTGTCAAGCTGCTGTGCGTGCTCAGCCTTGATGCAGCTGACATGCTGTGCGTGCTCAGCGTCCTTCTGCTCAAGCTGCTGTGCGTGCTCGGTCTCCTTCTTCTCAAGCTCTTGCGCATGCTCAGCCTTGATGCAGTTGACATGCTGTGCGTGCTCAGCGTCCTTCTGCTCAAGCTGCTGTGCGTGCTCAGCGTCCTTCTGCTCAAGCTGGTGTACGTGCTCAGCCTTGATGCAGCTGACATGCTGTGCGTGCTCAGCGTCCTTCTGCTCAAGCTGCTGTGCGTGCTCAGCTTCCTTCTGCTCAAGCTGCTGTGCGTGCTCAGCATCTTTCTTCTCAAGCTCCTGCGCATGCTCAGCATCCTTCTGCTCAAGCTCTTGCGCATGCTCAGCCTTGATGGTGTCCACATGCTGTGCGTGCTCAGCATCCTTCTTCTCAAGCTGCTGTGCGTGCTCGGTCTTGATGCTGTCAAGCTGCTGTGCGTGCTCAGCGTCCTTCTTCTCAAGCTGCTGTGCGTGCTCAGCCATCTTCTTCTCAAGCTGCTGTGCGTGCTCAGCTTCCTTCTGCTCAAGCTCTTGCGCATGCTCAGCCTTGATGCAGTTGACATGCTGTGCGTGCTCGGCGTCCTTCTGCTCAAGCTGCTGTGCGTGCTCAGCTTCCTTCTGCTCAAGCTCTTGCGCATGCTCAGCCTTGATGCAGTTGACATGCTGTGCGTGCTCAGCATCCTTCTGCTCCAGCTGCTGTGCGTGCTCAGCATCCTTTTGCTCAAGCTGCTGTGCGTGCTCAACCTTGATGCAGTTGACATGCTGTGCGTGCTCGGTCTCCTTCTTCTCAAGCTCTTGCGCATGCTCAGCCTTGATGCAGCTGACATGCTGTGCGTGCTCAGCGTCCTTCTGCTCAAGCTGCTGTGCGTGCTCAGCGTCCTTCTGCTCAAGCTGCTGTGCGTGCTCAGCGTCTTTCTGCTCAAGCTGCTGTGCGTGCTCGGTCTCCTTCTGCTCAAGCTCTTGCGCATGCTCAGCCTTGATGCAGTTGACATGCTGTGCGTGCTCAGCATCCTTCTGCTCCAGCTGCTGTACGTGCTCAGCATCCTTCTGCTCAAGCTGCTGTGCATGCTCAGCCTTGATGGTGTCGACATGCTGTGCATGCTCAGCATCCTTCTTCTCAAGCTGCTGTGCATGCTCAGCCTTGATGCAGTTGACATGCTGTGCGTGCTCAGCATCCTTCTTCTCCAGCTGCTGCGCGTGCTCAGCCTTCATACCAGCAAGTTGTCTTTCGTGCTCTTCAAGGATACCCACTGTCTTTTCATCATACCGTGACGCCAAACTGCTGATTTCTGCCGCGTGTTCTTCCTTGAGACTGCACACCTCTTGCTCGTGCTTGCGTTGCTGCTGTCTGATCATCCCTGTGTGCGCGTCGGTCTCACGGGTAATGCGTTCTTCATACTCATGCGTCAAGTGTGCAAGTTGCTGTGCATGCTTCTCCTCCAGGTCGGCCTGCTGTGCAGCAAACCCTGTCTCCATCGCATCAAGCTGCCGTGCCTTCTCCACTTTGTTCATGTCCAGCTCTCGCCTGTGCTCCGCAAGTGCTGTCTCGAGCTTCCTTTCGCACGCTGCTTTCGTCTCTGCAAGCTGGAGCGCATGCGTTTCGCTCGCCGCGCTCATCTCCCGCTGGTGTGCTTCAGACTGCTCCCTCAGCTGAGTCTGCACATCCCTCTGCAGCGCACCTGTCCGTGCGTGCAGCTCGCACGTGTGCTCTGCAGCCAACACGCGCATCGCGCCTTGGTGATTCTCCTCCAACACCTGTAGGTCTTGATCTTGACGCGCGGTGACAGCGTGCAGCTGCGCAGTGGCCTTGTCGACCATTTCCCTCAGTCGCTGCTCGCGTTCAGCGTGAAGCTGCTCCTGCTTGCGAACAGCGGCCGTCAGTTTCTGTGCGTGGGCGTTCTGGACGCTGCTCAGGGCGGTTTGGTGCTTCTCGTTCAGCTGTTGCATGCGGGTGGAAAACTCAGCCTCGAGTGCAGCCAATTGGTTCCGGTGCTCTTGCTTGACAGTATCGAGTTCTTGCTGGTGCTGACGTTGTGCGCTGCTCATGTCCTGCTGCAGCTGTGCGGAGAGACTGGCTGTGGTCGTCTCCACCTCCACCTTGACCCTCTCCACCTGCTCCACTAAGTCATTGCAGCGTGTACTGAGCGTGCGCCGTTGGGCAACGCTCTCCTTCACCAGCAGCTGCAACTCAGCACAGAGACGGCGCATATGCGTCGTTGCGTCGCCCTGGTCACCGCCGCTGCTGCTGCTGCTTGCTTCTGTCCCTGGAGCGCCCTCTTGCTCGCCCTCCACAGACTCATCTGCCGACGTCAGCGCTGCAACGGCAGTCTCCATCTCCGCCTGCATCTCACACAGGGCAGCGGCAAGCTCCTTGTTGTGGTCGCGTAGCGCCATCACCTCTTCCTTCATGTATGAATGCTGGGCGTCATGCTCGTTGAGCAATTCCTCCACCTCCAGCTGCGATTGCTTTCGTGCTGTCGCGAGCGCATCGCTGAGTGTCTGCATGCTGTCTCTGAGGCGGGCCGTGTCCTGAGCGTAGCGGTCGTGCACGGCTGCCACTGCGCGCTCCGTGTTGTTGAGCTGCACCTGCAAGCTGCTAATGGTGCAATCCCGTGCACGCATCTCTTCCTTCTGCTCCTCAATTGTCTCGCGCAATGTGCACACATCACGCCTCAGCTGTGAATTTGCCGTCTGCAACGCCGCCATTCGGTCTTTGCTCTCGGACTTGGGCGTGGGATTCTGTTCCGCTGTTGTTGCCTGGGCATAATGTTATTCGTGTGTGTATTACGCGTACGGGTGCATTGTGTGCGTGTGTTGCGCATGTTCTTGCGTGAGGATAGCGACTGGAGTAAAGGCACGCAATGCTGCTGATGGTGGTGCTGATGATGTTGAGAGGACATGGAGCCAGCCACCATCATCACGACAACAAAATGAATCCTAACATCACCACCACCACCATGGCATCACCACAGGCCGCATGCACGATGTGTCGCTTACCGCGCGGATCTGGCTGACGAGATTGCGGCTGTCTTCAAGCAGTCGACGCAGACTGGAGGTGGATGGCGAGGAGCGCTGTGGTGGTGACAACAGGGGCAACAGCATGATGGGTGAAATGAATGAGCAGACGCCGTGTGGTGCACGCATGCAAGCATGAAGCATAGCAAGGAAACGGACGATGGCGTCTGATTGTAGGTAGAACGTAGCGTACAACGAGAGAAATCTTAAGAAGTGCGCAGCTCAACAGCACACGCAAGCACGCACGCAATCACACACACACACAAAAACAACTCATTGAATAAGGAAGTCAACGAACACGTGAACAGACATATGTACACGCATACACGCATTCACGCATACACGCATACACGCAAACGCACACACGCAAACGCACACATTTTCACGGACCTTTCTGCGAAGCCTGCGGGGTTGAGGTGTCATGACCTCCTCGCCATCATTTGTAATGTCCACCCACTCCGAGTCGTTCATGGTGGTGGATGTCATGATGGAGGAGTTTGCTGTTGCCACACCCCCTTCATCCTCCATGTCTGTGTCCCGGCAGCTGGCTGTGTCCGTAAGGCTGCTACTGTCCACGCTGGTGTCGCGATACTGAGAAGATGAGGGCCGAAATACCCTTGGGGTTGCATGCACACTGGCGTTCACACTGCTGCTCATACTACTGTTCATGCTGGTGGTGGTGTTGCTGGTGGTGGAAATCCGCTTGGCACGCCGGCGCGCAGGCTTGCTGTTCTCCTTCTCCACGAGACCCAGCGCTTGGAACTGACGAAGGCGCTGATCAAACTTGTCTTTGCAGTGCTGCGGTATGTGTATTGTATCGTGTGTGTGTGTGTGTGTGTGTGTGTGTGTGTGTGTGTGTGTGGTTGTGTGGGTGTGGGTGTGCATGGGTGAGTGGAGATGGGTGGATGAGCGTGTGTGCATATGTTTGCTTGCGTGTGATTGCGGGCAACCATGCGCCGGTACGCATTCGTATGTAAATAATAGCACGAGCAGCAAACAACAACACAAACCCCCCCCCCTCTCTCTCTCTCACGCCAGACGCCAGCCAACAATGCCTCACCTCGAATTGCTTGGTGCCATTGAGGGACTGGCGATGCGCTGGTGATGCTGGATCGCACATGAACTGCTCAAATACGGCCATCAGCTCCTTCGCTGCACCTTGTCGCTCCATGGCCAGGCGCAGGGCACGACGGCGCTCGGGGCCTGTGCACCAAACATGCATGAGTGATGATGATGGTGTTGATGTTGTCGTTGTTGGTGGTCGTGATGGTGATGGTGGCGGTGGTGAGCATGCAGGTGATAGTGATGGGTGCCTTATATGTAAAGGTCAGCTGCAAGATGCAAGACTCCGACATCAGACGTTGGTGAGAGAGCAAGCACAAAACGGACAAGTGCCGGTGCAACGCACAAAGCTGCACAATGCGGCCACTTCCAGGTGATTTCGCCTTTGAGGGTGGTGTCCTGTCATCGGAGCATCCGAGTATGAGACGCGATGGGAATAAGACATGGAGGGTGGTAAGGACAAGGGAGCTGCAGCCCACTCAAATACAAGCAAGCACGCACGCACACATACACATATACACACACATACACAAACAATACACAGCGCATCTGTTGGCATAGTCCATGTTTTCAGTGTACACGAACACAGACCTGCTGCGCCGTCTGCGCTGTTTGCCGGTAGAGTGGTTGTTGCCATTGCGTGGCATGAGGACCTCACGGCATCTGGCGCTGCTGCGTTTGTTGCTGCTGGGTGCAGGCGACACCCACTTGTCGCTGGAGCTTGGTGTGGAGCACCTGGACGGTGGTCGATCAGTGGATATTGATGAAGCGACATGCCGGTGCGACTGCATCCTGGGCGACAGATTTGTTGGTCGGAGGCGCGGAGATCGGTTGCGGTGGGGCACGCACAAGGATGGTATCTTGCTGTGCATGTGCTGCAGGTGTGTTGGTGTGAGTGATCCCTTGTGTGTTGCTGCCTTTGAACGGTAGCCGCGGTGGGATGCCGATAAGGGCGACAGCGGTGTGGTGGCCTTTGGTGAAGCCGCCAAGCTCCTCGTTGGTGTGAGCAGCGCTTGGTGTTGTCGCTGCTGGTGACTAGCTATGGGCGAGTGCACCGCGCTAGTGGTAGCGCTCAACCCACTCATGATTCTCTTGAACAGAGGCACTCTTGCACTTGTGGACTGTGTTTGTGATGGCGCTTGTGGTGCAGGCTGTGCAGCGAGCGGGATGGGGGCTGTGAACGTGCTTGTCGTGAATCTGCTTCTTCCCGCCAAATACGGTGAATCCTGGTCCGGTATCACTTTTTCACCCACTGCTGAAGCTGTAGCTGCTGATGCTGCTGCTTTTGCAACACCTGCCAAGCGTGGTACGAGCCACACGACAGCAAAGAGCGACGTGGTGGTGTTTGTGCCTTGCTGCTGGCAGCAACAGAGGTTGTTGGCAGTGTGGTTGATGTGGTGGTGCTGGTGGTTGATGAGTGTGAAGCCTGTTGGTTGGTTGGGAAAGACGGTTTGGAAATTCGCGGCTGAAATTCGTCACCTTCTACACTTTGTGGTGTCGCAACATGTCGATCTGGCCGGGGGACGCTGCCGAGCGCACTCGTCATCCAACTCAACACACTCTCACGTCAGACACAACCAGCCACCCACACCAGCCACGATGGACACGTTGACGAAGCAGCATCTGGACTTGCTCCATGCCATGGATGGCTTCAACGAAGCTGCCCTTGGCTCCTACTTTGAGATTCACCCAGATGGCCAGTACACCGCTGACCAGTACATGGACGTCGAAGTGCCGGGACAGGACCAATACATGGGTGCGTGGGTTGGTTGTGCGTATTTGTGTTGGTTGTTTGTGTGCGTGTGTAAATGAAATGCTGAAATGAATTAGATGCGTTGATGCGTTCACATGCGATGAACATGCTTCTCTGCGTTGCAAATTCCAGTGGTTGTGTTCTCTGTGTCGCTGTGATTGCTGTCTGTGGCTGTGATTGCTGTTGCTCTGATTGTTTCATTGCCACTTCCCGTCACATGTGCTCGCATTCTGTCTGTGTGCGATGGCAGCCGTGTCGCCGTCTTGGCTGAATAACCAACAGAGCTTGCTGAAGAAGCAGGTGTGTGTGTGTGTGTGCATGTGTGTGTGCGTGTGTTTGTTTGTTTGTTTGCGTGCGCGCTTCTGCAGGCACACGTGTGCAAACATGTGCACTGCTTTACATCTGCTCTTCTTCGCTCGTCCTGTGCAGTGTTTGAAAGCACCTGGCAGCCGATGTAAGTGCACCCGCACGTTCTCCTTTCGTAATCCCTCCCTTTCCACCGCGCGTCCCCTTCCTCTCACGCTGTCCCCCTCCTCTCACACGGTGTCTTCGCGGGGCAATGCCCAAGCAGCCGTGGTTCCGTGCAGCCCCGTACGGCAGACGAGAGGCGGTTGACGAGCTGCAAGCGGCGCCAGTGGGCACGTTCGTCGTGCGCCCGTCCTCCGACACCGGCAAGTACGCCATCTCCGTCAAGCGCAAGAACGGGAACGTCGACCACATGCTCATCCTCCCATCTTGGGTACGGCTCTGCGCGTGTGTCCATGTGCGGCGTTTATTTGTGGATGTGTGTGTGTGTATCTGTGTGTGTGTGTGTGTATCTGTCTGTGTGTGTGCGTGTGTGCGTGTGTGAGTGTCTGTGTGACTTTCTGCGTGCATGTGTGTCTGTGTAAAATGCTCTGTGTTTGTGTCTGTGTATGCTGCACATGTGCGCAATGCGAAACAGTCTGTGCGGCCCTGCAGCTCCTAGATACAGTTGCACGCAGGCGTGATTGCTGGGTTGTTGGCGTCTTGGGCTGTTTGTGGCTTCCACCATGATCCCCCCCCCCAATCTTGGCCTGATGCACGTATTTTTCCCGCGCTGCGTTTGGTTTTCCACTGCAGGGTGGCCCGGACAGCACGGCTCCTGGCCAGACGCAGTATCGAATCGGCACTTATTCCTCGGCCCTCTTCAACACTGTTCCCAAGCTCATCGCGTATTACGTTGGTGGGTGCTTTGTGTACCTGTGTGTGTGTGTGTATGTTTGTCTGTGTGTTTCTGTGTGTGTGTGCCTGTGTTCATCGGTGTGTATGTGTGTGTTTGTCTGTGTGTGTCTGTGTGTGTCTATGTCTCTCTGTGTGTGTGCCTGTGTTCATCGGTGTGTATGTGTGTGTTTGTCTGTGTGTGTCTGTGTGTGTCTATGTCTCTCTGTGTGTGTGCCTGTGTTTATCGGTGTGTATGTGTGTGTGTGTGTGTGTGTGGTAAGTTGGGTGCACACGCCGGTCCAGCCTGCTGTGTTTGCTTGGCTGCACACCAGCAATGCCAAACAAGCCATTGGCGAGCCGACAGGGCACATTCCATCACTCATTCCTGTATCACCCTCCACTGTTGACTCACGCCACATTATTTTCACAGTGCACCCATATTTCGACGATGAGATGCTGGCTGGCATTGTGCTGCCGGAAGAGCAGGAAGGCGGTTACAACTACATGGATGTGTGTCCCGTGCGGAAATGAGGATGGCCTGGTGTTATCGTTTCATTGTGTCACCGTGCAATGGTGCCATGCACCCTTCCTCCTTCCCCCTCCTCAACTCTGGTTGCGTCTCGGCTATCATTGTGCTTCCGCTCGCTTCTCAGCTTGCTTTTTCACCTCACCACCACCACCTTTCATGCTTTCTGATTGATGATTGTTGCATTTTGACGGGTTACACATTGCCTTGGACTCATCCCCCTCCTCCTCATCATCATCTTCTTCATGCATCATCAGCACGTGCGTTAAACGGCTTTTCTTCCGTCTTGTTAAAGCCCATCCACCATAGACAACCCAAATGGGACTGACAAAACAAAAATGAATTACCATCTGTTCACGCACGAGTGGACATGCTGCCAGCTGAAAGGCTGAAGCCTTTGGATTCATGGACGTTGGTGAACAATGGAGTCACTGTTCCATAGTCGAGGGTGGCATGCGTATGGCGACACGGTGATGTGGATGCCAGTGGAACCGAAGGATTTGGTCGCAGCAAGTGTTCATTTTGGTGCAGCTGACGGTGCAAGTGAGCAGCATGAACCACGCCAAGTGCGAGCGAGAAGCCGAAGGGATGGCATCGGAGGACGTCAACGGGTACCGGCGCGTACGGCTGGTGGGGTCTGGGTCGTTTGGCAAGGCGTGGCTCGTGCAGCGTAAGACATCGCTCTCGCAGTATGTGATGAAGGAGATTGCGGTGCGCTTGCTGGACGAGGGTGCACGCAAGGCAGCCGTGAACGAGGTAATGGTGCTGCAGCAGCTGCGACACCCGTACATTGTGCGATACCGCGACGCCTTTTGCCACAACGGCATGTTGTGCATCTGCATGGAATATGCGGCAGGTGGCGATCTTTCCGCTCGCATCGCAAAGCAGCGAGCGCAGGGCTTGTTTCCGGAGGCCAAGGTGCTGGATTACCTCACCCAGCTCACGCTCGCGCTTGCATATCTACATCGAAAGAACATTCTGCACAGAGACCTCAAAAGCCAGGTGCGGGCACACACGACAGTCTTTGGTAACTCAAAGGCACCTTTCGTTCTGTGTATGCGTGTGTATGCGTGTGTGTGTGTGTGTCTGTGTGTGTCTGTGTGTGTCTGTGTGTGTGTGTGTGTTGTGATATGACGTGGGTTTGGTTCATGCGGCCCTCTCCCCGGTTATTCTGTCACTCGTGCCTCGTGTTCATCTCGCAGAGTGACATTATGCACCGCCTCACCACGCCTCACCACGCCTCATCGGCCCGCTTGCACACACTATGTGCCACTGGCATGTCACTCAGAACGTGTTCTTGTCAGCGAGGGACCACGTCAAGCTGGGGGACTTTGGCATCTCAAAGGTGCTGACAGACACGCAGCAGCACGCGAGCACTCTGGTTGGCACGCCGTTCTATCTCTCGCCAGAGATTTGCATGTCCATGCCGTATGGGCAGAAGAGCGACACGTGGGCGCTGGGGTGCGTGCTGTATGAGCTGCTGACACTCAAGCACGCGTTCCGTGCACACAGCATCAGCAGCCTGATGGTGCGCATCATGGGCGGCCACTACCCGGAGCCGAGCCTGGGCTACTCCGCGGCAACGCGGCGCCTGGTCCGCCACCTCCTCGATGTCCGGCCAGACAGCCGCTGGGACACGAGCGTCCTGCTCCAGCAGCACGTGCTGCAGCCGCATGTTCTCAAATACGTCAAGGCGTGCGACATGGACCATGTTCCCCTCGGACCCCACCTGCGCGCAGCCATCGCGGAGAAGGCCGCCGCACCACACGCCCAGCTGCGCAAGGAGCAGGTACAGGTGCAGCCGGCCCAGACGCGGCGACCGGTTCGGAAGCTACCAAGGCCGGAACCGTCATTGTCACCTTCGCCGATCAAGCGCCAGGATGTGCCCGACCGGGAGCACGAACATCAGCCAGGCCAGCCAGTGCAGAGGTCGCCCCAGCATGACCACCAGCACCAGCACCAGCACCAGCAGCAGCTTGTGGAAGATGGCCGAGCAAAAGTCACCCTTCGGACACCGCACACCGAACGACTGACGAGCTGTGAACCCGACGACGAGGAATGGGGTGTGGAGGATGAGGAGGAAGAAGAAGAGACCACAGAGGAGAGAGGGGACGTCGAGTGCGTTGAAGAGCAAGGTGCACGCCAACACCAACAACAGCAACAGCAGCAGCACCAAGGGCATGGTCATCACCACAACAAAGACGCGAGGAATGCAAGCCGGTCAACAGCGTCTGAGCAAGAGGAGGTGGCCAAGTTCATGCTTGGGGACGCAACGCTGCATCTGCAAGGCGTGAAGAGCGACGACAGCATGTTCACGAGGCTGGAGGCGCTTCGGCAGTTCCTGGAGCTGCGGCTTGGCGAAGACCGCCTCGCTGCCGCCTACGCAGAGGTCTACGCAACGCTGATGGATGACGACGATGACGATGATGATGATAACGACGACGGCGATAGCTTGTGCCTGTCTGATCCCGTTGTGAACGTGTATGCGCCTTTAATCGTGCAGCTGGTGTACGCCGAGCTGTCGACCAAGCATGACTGACGAACTGACCGGCAAGCTGGCAGCAGAGGACGCCCCGTGTCTGCCTGTGCCTGTGCCCGTGTCTGCCTGTGCCTGTGCCCGTGTCTGCCTGTGCATGTCACCGCCAGTGCATTTGTGTTCATGATCCGCACACTCGAGAACAAAAGGGGCCTAGAATCGCACATTTGGCGCTGTTAAGCGTGCATTAAACCCGTGTCGATGATGTCATCAAATCACATCTCATGTGCCATTCACATCATCACATCATCAAGCAGCCAAGCAAGCCGAGATGACGACAACATCCTCACCGCTGGTGGTGCTCATGCTGGCCACGGCGGCGGGGGTGGTGTTGGCTGCCCTGGTGCCTGCGGTGCACTGCATCCCAGACACACCATCTGCCAAACTGTACGCCGACAACGACGGGAATCTGCTGGTAACAACATACGGCTTGAGCGGCGACGTGATCGTTGACGGCGTGCCCATCAAACGGAAGCTCAGTGAGCTCGAGCAGATGTACAACACCTTGGTGGAGCAAGTTGCTGGCCAGACTCAGAGCGGTACCGAAGGTGCCGGCAGCACGGGCTCAACAAACCCCGGCAGCGCAGCGACTTGTTCCGGCTCTTACCCTGCTGGGGCATACTGCATGTTTGACACGACTGCGCTGCTCCTGAACAACCAACTCGCCTCCCGCAACCCACACATGCTGACGCGCCTGCGGCACATTGCACAGTCAACGGCGACGCCCACGGCCTACGCATTCCACCAGACGGGGAAGAACAGTTTTGTTAACGTCGTGAACAACTTCACCACCATCGTGTATGACAGGGAGCTGCACACGCTGCGCCCGACGCTCCCGCCAGTGTTCGACTCGAGTGCGGTGGAGCTGTACCAGTACCAGGGCCCCACGGTTGGGCACACGCAAATCGTGCACACGCTGGATGGCCGAGACTTGTTTCTTTGCTTGCTTCGGGATGAAGTCAGCGGCACGCAGCGCGTCAAGGCATTCGCTGTCACCGAGGATAGCGTCGACAGCACGCGCCTCACGCTGACGGAGGCGACAGATATCACGGCTGTTGGCCCGACCGCGTTGTGGTTTGTTGCGTCCCCCACGCACGTTGTGGTCCCCAATACGAACAGCAAGGTGGCCATCTTCACCGTGGATTACGAAGTCACTGCCCCCGATGACTCCTTCTACTTTGACTTTGACACAGGGAACACCCCGGAAGAGCAAGGCAAGGTGATTGTCGGGAGTGCAATCCTTCCCACCAGGGTCTATGTCGCCCTGGCAAAGAACGGCAAGGGTAGCGTGCGCGTCTTCACGCTTCCCTCGGACGGGTCAAACCCAGAGCTGCTCAACCAGAAGCTCACGTTTGATGTTGGTATTCGTGACATCTACACGCTCGGAGAGGACCGCCTTGTTGTTCGTCTCGCCGATGACAACAGCACGAACGTCGTGTACGACCTCAGCACCAACGCCTTCACCGTGAGTTGCAGGGGAGGGGGTTGTGTGTGTGTGTGCGTATGTGTGTGTGTGTGTTTGTGTTTGTGTGGAAGGGGGGGGGGTTGGGTGGTCACACATTGTACGTGCAGGTATGCGTCACGGCTGTGTTGTTTATCCGCTTTTCTTTGTCGGCCCCTCATCACTTCATCAGCACCTTGCTGCACCTCAACTCATTCATGAATCACGCATCGTGCATGCTGCCACGTTTAATGCATGTCCTCTCTCGTTTCTCCACTTCCACTGCTTGCCGTGTGTGTTCGAACAAAGAACCGTGGCTCGTTCATCTTGCCGACAGACACGACGGGCACAACCAACTTTGACGTGAACGGCTGCCTTGCTCTCTTTTCCACTCCCAACGTACGTGCAGGCTGTGCGTGCGTGTGTATGTGCGCTGTGACAGGTTGTTGTTGTTGTTGTTGTTGTTGTTGTTGTTGTTGTTGTTGTTGTTGTTGTTGTTGTTGTTGTTGTTGTTGTTGTTGTCACTGTGTTTGCTGGCACGTTGATGACCCCCCCCCCCCTGCCTTTCAGTTCACCCGGCACATGCTCACATCACTTCACACTACTGAACACTGTCCCCTCTGTGTACATGCACATCACGACCACCACAACAACAGGATGGCCTGCATCTTTTCAACCTGACAACAGCCGTTCCCACGAACATCCTCACCCTGCCCCACCCTGGCGGTAACCCACGCGTCGCGGCAACAGCAAATGGTTTTGCAGTCACAAACAGCACCCACCTCTTGTTCTACTGACCGAGGTTGTGCTTGTGTGTGTGTGTGTGTGTGTGTGTGTGTGTGTATGTGTGTGTGTGTGTGCGGCGGGCGAGTTGATCTAATGATACGATTGTTTAGAGTCATTCACGTCAATAAAGACAAGATGCACGAAATACAACTGAAGTTATGGCACACACAAGTATCGCACACACACACACACACACACACACACACACACACACACACACACACACACACACACTGGCACGTGTTTCCATCAGCCTTCGCATACGGTGCCTGCTGCCATCACGCTTTCCTCGGCTTCATCACATTGCGTTGAACGGCCTCAAAGTCAATCTCAATCTCCGTTTCCGTCGGCTCAAACCGCCTGCACACACACACACACACGCACAAGCACACACACACACACAAGCACACACACACACACACACAAGCACATACACATACATGTGGGGAAGCAGCACCAAGTCAACGTGACTATGGAATGGTTGAGGTGGGATGTGACCACACATGCAAAAGCAGCTTGGGATCGAGACACGTGCATGGCAAACCGACCTGCACTTGACGCGTGCAAGCTTGAACAAGCGGCGGCTGGCCATGTACGGTGTTGCATTGTGCATCTTCAACAAAGGGAGAGGTTCGTTGCATCCGCGTGCGTGTGCGCATGCGCGCATGTGAGTTGTCAGTTGTGCTTGTATGTGTGTGCGCGTCTGCGTGCGCATGTGCATGGTAGCACAGGAGCACTTGATGGCGACCAGCAAACACACACAGCACAAGTACAGCAAACACAAGGCAGAGAGGGGTCGCTCAGCGGACCTCATCTGCGACGTAGACAACCTCCTTGATGCCGGCTTGGATGATGAGCTTGGCAGACTCGTTGTCGGGAAACTGCATCACATATCTGACGGGTGAGCGTGTATGAGTGAGTGAGTGAGTGAGTGAGTGTAGATGTGTGTGTGTGTGTGAGTGCGTGAGTGTGCATATGTGTGAGTGAGCGAGTGTGTGTGTGTGTGTTGGATGGGTTCGTGTACGCGCTTGCTGATTCGTGTGCTTCCGCCGGCCCTTCAGCCCCACAACTAGCATCCTCACCTCTCACACACATGGACACACACACACACACACACACACACGTACACACACTCAAACACAATGACAACAACCCACATGCGACAGCCGCGAATGCTGGACGAGTTGCGGTTGAGAATGGCGTTCATCTCTGCCTGACAGACAAAGGGGTACTTTGTGTCAAGGACCGAGTCTCCTTGGCTGCGCCATGGCAGCTTGTCATCGCTACATCCGCGTGGCATCCCATTGTACCCTGGCGACGGGCGTGCACATGGAGACGACAACGACAATAATGTCAGCAGTGCTGGCTGGGTGCGACTCAGTGGTGGCACAACACCGCAAAGGCATACCACAGTTGATCGCAGCACTTGACGGATGCAACACGAGGGCAATGACACAAAGAAGCGGAGGAAGGCGCCCAGTTGCATAGCTGAAATCGACGCACCAATGCCGACGATCTTGTTCTCTGAATTGACGATGCAAGCACCAAACTGGGACCTGTCAGTCGTGATGTGTGCGTGTGTGCGTGTGTGTGTGAGAGAGAGTGTGTGTGTGTGTGTGAGAGAGAGAGAGTGTGTGTGTGTGTGTGAGTGGGTTAGAGTGACAGTGAATGTGTGCGCGCACAAGCAGGAGAGCGAGAGAGTCACTCTCTGAGTGTGTGAGTGAGTGAGTGTGTGTGTGTGTGTGTGAGTGAGTGTACCGCAAATCACCACCACCACCACCACCAACAACAACAAAGATGTGTTGAAAAAGCCCCTTCCTCCCCTCCCCTCTCACACTCCCACATCTCACCCTTGACTGCTTGCCCCGCTTGGCCACTCTTACTCTGGGTCCTTGCTTCGCTGGGCTGAAAGGAAGGCCACTGCCATGAAGTAATCCTCCCAGCAGATGTGCCGCTGTCGTCGCGGCTGTGGCTGCGGCTGTGGCTGTGGCGGCATTTCCATCGTTGTGTTGTCCTCCTCCTCTTGTTTTCTTGGCGGCAAAAGGACTTTGCTGGTTTCTGCTGACTCAGCAATATTGCTTCGCACCAGACCGCAACTGTCGGAGTTTGCTGCCGCTGCGAGTTGTCATGTCTCACATCATCACGCAAGCTTCCGTGCGTGCCTCAAAGCGTTTAATGGTTGCACGGTTGTGTATGTTTGTGAAATACGACACGAAGGCAATGACACCCCTCCTACACCTTCCCATCCCCGCTCTCCTTCCTCGATCAATGAAACTTAGTGGCATCACATCACCAGTTCAAACTGCAAACTTGCGGTAGCGATGCGATGAGAACCCTGTTGACTATGTGCCCGTCCCAGGCGCGATCACCTTCCCTTTCGTTTCCGTCCGAGCAACGACTCCCACCTGCAGTAGCGCATGCGACAATGGAGGGAGTGGAAGAGGCAACACACGCAGACAACACACGGAGGCAACAACATCCGCGTCAGCAATAGCAAATGTCAGCGCATACATGCGAATCTACAAGCAATGGCCACGCAAAATCCATATGCACTGACAAACGCTTCCAAACTCATATGCACACACACACAGACACACACTCAAACACAGAGACGCAAACGCGCACAGACACAGCCACACACAGCCACACACAGACACACGCGTGCACAGACACACACACGCACGCATGCGCACACAGCACGCACGAACCATCCAAAGCCCCAGAAGTGCTTGTCGGTAAACTTGGGTTTGGCGCGCGCGTCGCGTTTGGAGAGCCAGTCCCTTGCGGCCGCCGTGGCCGAGGCCGAGGGAGCAGCGTTCTCCACGTCAAAGACACCCGTGTTGCTGCCCAGCTCAAGGAACGCAGCGTCGATGCCAACCATGCCCAGTCCAGGCTGGCAACGTGGGACGCACCCACAAACACACACATGCATGGTCAGCGAAGACGAAATGGTGGCGAAAGAAATGCGCAAAGGTAGAATGGAGAAGCAAACAGGCAACACAGATATTGACTCTGTGCGTTGTCGATGTGGGCTGTACAGTGCAATCACACCTGGTGTGGCTGCGATAGGTAGCTTGGGCTTCGCATTTCATTCAGGCGCGAGATGCACCGCTTTGATGCAAACAGCTCCTCCTCGCCCGTAAACAGCATGTTCTTGTACACATCTGGTCCATCGCGCCCCAACTGCATCAACGTCGTTGTGGTCACGCGGTCATGTGTGTGTTCGTCAGTGCGCGCGTGTGTGAGTGTGTGTTTGAGAGACAGAGACAGAGACAGAGACAGAGACAGAGGCAGACAGACAGACAGACAGACAGACAGAGATACAGAGAGACAGACAGGCAGAGTCACTGAGCGTGTTGTTGCTTGCACGCGACTTGCTCGTGATCAACCAAGAAACATGCAGCGTGTATCGCAAAATGGAGGACCACGGCTGGATGTTGATTCGCAACACTGCACGAGTTGCATTCAAACCAGCCGCAATCGAATACCAACGTACGTCATACATCATCTCGCCAAGCATGTCACCATGCATAATCTCAAACCGGTCGTGATCCGTGTCGTCCACCTGTCAACACACACACACACACACACACACACACACATGCCAGTTCAGTGTCGTGGGTTGTTGTACGTGCGTGCAAGTGCCACAGAAGGCGCACAATGACGCAACTGCTTGTACCGCTCCAAGGTATTCTCACCACCACCTGTCTCTGCACCACCACCACCACCACAATGCATCACCACCACCAGCAACAGCAGCACTTAGTCTCTTCACCACCCCCATCAATATCAGCACCACCACACCCCCATCAATATCAGCACCACCTCAAGGAAGAGGCGATCGATGGGGAGTTCGACGGCGGCGAAGAGTTTCGTGCGGCACTCGTACAGCGCATCGATGAGTGTGATGAACCGCCGCGCCTCGTTCCGCGACGACATGCGCAGCTGGTGCAGTCGTGGTGGTCATGGTGGTCGTGGTGGTGCAGTTGTGGCGTGTGTGGGTAGGCGAGTGAGCGAGCGAGCGAGCGGGTGAGTGAGTGAATTAACACTTGGATCATCCACCCACTTCTTCGCCTCCCTCGCATTTTTCCACGCTATCCATCGCCTCACACACACACACACACACACACACACACACACACACACACACACACACACACACACACACACACACACACACACACACACACGCCTGGTGTACCTTTGGAATGCCTGCAAGGAAGACGGAGTGGAACTGACGGGCGATGGCAAGATAGTCGGCTGGGCCGAGCGCAGAGCCGCACAGATAGGAAAAGTCAAAGTAGGCGTGGCCCTCACGCGTGCTGTGGGGAATGCTCACGTTGCGCCCAAACACATGCACAGACGCAGGCCGCACACGCTGTGCGTGTGTGTGTGTGTGTGTGTGAGTGAGAGGCAGTGAGACCATGGTCGTGATGTGTGCTTTGAATATGCACACAGGTGGCAAGGTGTTTACCGCAACATGTGTAACTCATGAGGCATGCACGCAAAAGCACGCAACAGCAAACCTTGTCCTCGGTGAGTGTCTCCCATGTTTCCTGCAGAATGTCTGTTGCGTCGTCGCCAACGAAGATGGGGTCCGCAAACATGCCTGCGCGGCCAAAGATGTGTGGGAGGGGGGCGTGTTGGTGAGCAAAACGACCACATGTCAAATGCGCACTCGATGCGCAAGAAACACACACACACACACACACACACACACACACACACACACACACACACACACACACACACACACACCGCGGCTGCCTCAATCTCAACACCAACCAACCAACCAAACAAACAAACAAACAAACAAACAAACTTGCACAGCGGGGGACCTTGGTGGTCGGCGGCCTCTGGCATGAGCTCGCGATAGTCAACATCCGAGTCGACGCGAAACACGGAGCAATTCTCCTCCACCACGCGCACAAACGGCTCAAAGAGCGCCTCCTTGAAGTGGCCCTGGTACAGGTCGCACGGCGGGCGGTTGCTGGTGGCGACAACAACAACGCCATAGTCGTGCAGGTGTGTGAAGAGGCGATAGAGAATGCCAGCGGTGCCGACGTCTGGGATTTGCATCTCGTCAAAGCACAGCACGCGCGCCTGTGGGTGGCGGATGTGGTGAGGTGGGAAGTGGGACACGTGAGGGCGTGATGGTGGTGAGACGGCGAAGGCAATAATAGGTGGTTGCAGTGGCTGAGTGCTTTACACCTGACTACCAATGCCCAGAACCCAAAGCATGAACAAACCCACAAATGCGTCACACACACCACAACATACGACACACACACACACGGCACACACCACACACACACCACACACACACACCACACACACATGCACACACATACACATGCATACACATACACACACATGCGCACACATACACATGCATACACATACACACACATGCGCACACATACACATGCATACACATACACACACATGCGCACACAACACACAACACACGACACACACACACACGGCACACACCGCATACACGCACGCACGCACGCGCGGAAAGCGAACCTGTCGAGCGATGTTCTTGGCCACGAGATGGGTCATGTTGTGGTCGTACTTCGCCCTGTGCTCTTCATCACAGAGGAAGGAGAGGCGGTGAAGGTGCTGCAGGGTGTCGCGCATGAAGCTGTGAAAGTGAATACGAAGCTTCTGCTTCACAGGCAACGTGTCGTAGAAGAGGTCCATCAGCATGCTCTTGCCGCAGCCAACGCTTCCCCTGCACATGATGGTGTGCGGGGTTGCGGTCAGTTGTGGTGAGTTGCGGTGAGTTGTGGTGAGTTGTGGTGAGTTGTGGTGAGTTGTGGTGAGTTGAACGCCACGACAGAAGGCACAGCGGCGGAGCTGGGCAAGGAGTACACACACACACACACACACACACACACACACACACAGACACACACACAAAGACACACACACACAAAGACACACACACACAGACACACACACATACACACAGACACACACACACACATACACACAGATACAGACACACACCATAGATAGACGCCACGAGGGGCGGTTGTCAGCTGCGGCAAGTCGACATTGTCCAGGTCCTCCTCAAGCACTTTCGTGTCGACCTTCAACTCCTTTGCCATCATCATGGAGCGCGAGCCAGTGTGAGCAGGCGCGGTTGTTATACATGGTGAATCGAGGCAAAGACAACAGACAGCAACGAAGCAAGACACCGGCCGGGAAAGAGGGTGCACAATACAGCGGAGAGGCTGGGCGAGAGGGTGTTTGAGCACCATGGTGGGGGCTTGCTGGCGCGCGTCGTAGCTAACCTGTGCGTGTCGCTCAAATGCCTTGTCATCCTCCGTGAAGCCATACAGCTTTCGTTGCGTGTCCTCATGTTCCCGCACAGCTTCCTTGATGCGCTCTTGCTTAATCTGCTTGTAGCGGTGGACGACGTGCTCGTCGTGTGCTTGTACCGGCGACGGGTCAAATGCGCACAGCTCGCTGTGCAGCTTGTCCAACAGCACCAGCGCCTCCAACTGTGTGTATTTGTGTGTGTGTGTGTGTGTGTGTGTGTGTGTGTGTGTGTGTGTGTGTGTGTGTGCGTGCGTGCGTGTGTGTGTGCATGCATTTGGGTGAGACGAGGTGTGTTTCCATTCACAAGGAAGTGACCTGAAGTGTGTGGCGCACCACTCCAGCGTGGGCCCAAGATGCCGCCCCCCCCAACACACACACACACACACACACACACACACACACACACACACACACACACACACACACACACACAGACGCACACACAGACGCACACACAAACACACACAAACACACCTGAGCAGGGTCCATGGTGATGTCGCCTGCTGTTGTGGCACGCATGTATGCTTGCGACGGAAGCTGCCGCTGACCTGCTTGCGTATGCGCGGCAGCAACACGACCCACTCCACTGAAGGCCACACGCGCTACACCCGTTGCCACCCGCCATGCTCCACCGCCACCACCACCACCACCACCACAAGCAGCATGCCTCGCCACAGCACGCCAACACATGCACGCCATTGCTGTTGTGTTGCGTCCACTTCCGAAACAACGTCATTGATGACTCAGCACACGAAGCATGACCGATGATGGCAGCTGCTGTGATGGGTGGTGGTGTGGTGGTGCTCGTGTGCACGCTGGTGCTCGTGTGAACGCTGGTGTGCAGGTCGGTGTGAGGGAAAGACGGGTGGAGGAAGGCGGCCCTGTGGATGGCAGCTGTGGTCGCGAACGGCGCAGCAGTAGGGAGGCGGTGGAGGAAGAAGAACGGTTGCAGCTGCTGCAGAGCGTGTTGTGCGGGGATCTTGGGCGCAACTGCATCGCCTGGCAACTCAGTCTGGCCGACCTCCATCAACTGTGTCTTGCGCTGGGCGCTCGACATGGCGGGAACACCATCGCCGGGTGGCTGACCCCGATTATGCACGCGTGGGACCTCTCGTTTGTCAACGCCCGCATGTTCAAGAGCAGGCCCTCCTTTGAACGGCTAATGCCCGGTGTTGCGTACATGCTGCGACATGGCCGTAAGCCCGGCAATCAGCTCGCACTGGTTCTCTATGACTTTATCTGGACGGAGATTGCGGCTGGCGCCATCGCCTTTGGGCACCCGCGCATTGCTCTGGCCTGTGTGGATGCGGACTGCTTTCCAGCGAAGCGGCTTGCGGGCTTGTACAAGCTTGCCAAGCACTGGTGCAAGGTAAGCACGCGCGTGTATGTGTGTGTTCGAGCGTTTGTGCAATAGTGTGCGTGCGCGAATGTGTGTGTGTGTGCGTGTGTATATGTGTGAGATTGATTGGAAGCAAGCCAGTACACATCTCCTTCCTCGTCCTGCCCCTGCTCCTCTTGTTCATCTTCACAGCCCCTCACGGCCCCTTCCAACCCCTGCAACGCTGCTTGCTCAGGTCCAAGGATCGACCATGCCAGAAACAAGCCAAGACATCATGAGCCGCCATATACATCCTCATGCATGAAGCCTTTGTTCGGCGCAGTTGTGTCATCACCATCACCATCAACACATATGTACATACTGTGTCTGCCCATGCATGTCACTGACTACGGTATTGTGGCTCATGTATTGACGAACGTAAGAGGAGAGGAAATGCATTGACGAGAGACAGAGCAACAGCATCAGGCAGCAAGCAACAACAAAAGGGAAGAACAGGGGAGAAAGAAGCCTGTGGCACTGAACGCTCGCATGTGTACGCGGGTGTGTGAGAGAGAGAGAGTGTGTGTGTGTGCGTGTTGGGAAGGGAGAACAAAGGGTCGCTTCGTTTGTTATACGTGGAACTCCGTGAGCTTGATCTTCGCCTGGTCTCGCGGGTGCACTTGCGTAATGCCCTGCCAGTGGTTGCATGCCAGCCATGAGAGAGGTGTACAGCTGTGCACGTACGCAAGCAAGCATACCCATGACGCACCGCGACGACAACAATCATCACCACCCCCGCACGGAGACACACGCACACACACACACGCACACACACACACACACACATGCACACACATGTGCACGCCGTATGAGACGCACAGCGCGTTGGAGCATTTCGAGGTAAGGCAGCCAGTGCTTGTCGTCATCAATGGCGATGTACGGATCGTGCGGGCTGGTCATGCACTGATTCATCAGCTCCTGCGAGGAGAGTGTGAATATGTATGTGTGCGTATGAGTGAGTGAGTGAGTGTATGCGTGCGTGCGTGAGTGAGTGAGAGAGTGCGTGCGTGAGTGTGAGTGAGTGTATGAGTGAGTGTGAGTGAGTGAGTATGTGAGTGAGTGAGCGAGTGAGTGAGTGAGTGAGTGAGTGAGTGTGAGTGAGTGAATGGGTGTGTGTGTGTGTGTGAATATTTCAATGTGATTTGCCAGACGGCATGCTTCCAAATACCCCCCCCCCCTCACATAAACACACATGTACACATCCACCAGTACCGACCTGCAAGAGCTGCCGCAAGCTGATGAACGTGGTACCGCCGCTCGCAAGCTGCGCGTCTTCATCCTCATCCTCCTCATCATCGTCGTCGTACTGCGGGTGCCTGCCCCTCCCCCGCCTTGCACTGCCACCGCCACTTCCCCGCGTGTGTCCGCGCGTGCGATGAAAATACGACTCAATGGTCCTTGGGGCCTTTGTTCCCATCGGCCGGCCCGCCACATCGCCCGGGCGCGGCGACGGGAAGTGCTGGTCAAGGAACTCGCGCTGTGCATGCGTGTGTGTGCATGTGCGTGTGTGTGTATGTGTGTGTGTGTGTGTATGTGTGTGTGTGTGTGTGTGTGTGTGTGCATGTGCGTGTGTGTGTGTGTGTGTGTGCATGTGCGTGTTGGGGGGAGGTGAGGCTTAAAGTGCTGTGAGCAAGCCCAACACACAGCACGCGCACGCGCACACGCACACGCACGCACATGCTCATGGCACAAAACACAGGCGAATACGCGAAAACACACTGAAGCACACTTGCTGTCTCCTTTCCCCCTCGCCACACCGTCAACGCCACGCACCATCTTGATGAGGAGCTTCTGGTTCCATTTGCTGACGGCCTTTGCACGGTGTCTGATCTTGCGTGCAGCCTGCGATGCACGCTTCCTCCCATCGTCCCTGGTGTAACACATGTCAGTGTGTTGAGGGTAGATGAGGACAGTTGCACATGTTGGTGTTGCACAGGCATGTGCGTGTTGCAGCAGTTGAGTACTACAAACTGGTGCACAGATTGGAGCGCGCACACGCACACGCGTGAACCCACGCACACTCACGCGCGCAGACGCACGCACACGTACGATGATGCCTCGGCCTCCTGGGCGTCGAGTTTTGCTCGCGTGTCCACCAATCGCTTTGTGAGGCCCTCACGTAGGGCAATGTGCTCAGCCAGACACGCTTGCTGACTGTTATCACCAGTGCGCATGTGTGTGTGAAAGGCAAATGAAAGTTTGCAGGGCCGTGGACGTCGCATACACTTCCAAATGACGTTGCACACACACACACACACACGCACACACGCACACACACGCACACACACGCACACACACACACACACACACACGCACACACACACGCACACACACACACACACACACACACACGCACGCACGCACGCGCGCGCGCGTGCACCTCACCGTTTGATGGTTGCTTCAATGTCCTGGACGTCGCGCGTGACCTGAGCAATGAGAAACTGCAGCCTGCTGACGCTGGCGTCCACGCGTGCCTCGGCCTGACTGCGGATGACTTCTTCGCTCGGCTGGGGGACTGGTAAGCATCAACACACAAGCAAGGGCGAGACAGATCGTGCCAGTGGTTGGTTTGGTCAAGGGCGCATGTGTGGACAGGTTACAGCAACGTTGTGAGACACATACAAAGCAGTGACCACAACGTCCATCATCACCACCAACAACAGCCACAACACTACTTGCAGCACCTGTGAATGGGTATGTGTGCAATGCCTCGAGTTCGCTCTCCAACAGCAACACTCTACGGGCCAGGAGACGCTGTGACATCAGCACGTGCGTGCATGTGTGTGTGTGTGTGCATGCGTGCGTGCGTGTGTGCATAAGCCGTGACCAAGCAGACGGTATTGAAATGGTGAGAGGTGGGTGATAACAAGGGTGTTTGGGAAGATACAAGCAGGGCGTGTGGCTGCAATGCCTGTTCACCTTCTCCTTGACTTCCGGAGACAACGCGGCTGTGTCCTCGGTCGCTGTGTGTCGCGCATGCTCTGCTGCATCCAGCCGTAACTGTGCATGTGTTGTGTGAGTTGTGTGTGTGTGTGTGTGTGTGGTGTGCGGCGTTGTGCGTGCGTTGTGTGCGTGCGTGTGTGCGTGTGCATGTGGTGTGTGTGCGTGCGTGCGTTGTGTGAGTGGGTGTTGGATGTACGTGCGTTGTGTGAGTGGGTGTTGGGTATCGTGTATGCATGGGTGTGTTGTGTCCATGTTGCACGCAAGACGTCAATGAGGTGGTGCAAGGAATACCCTGTTCAGTTCCTCAGAGAGTGTGTCGCATGCTGCCTGCGCTTCCTTGTCGGCCTCTCGGTGTCGATCTACCCGCGTGTCCATCAGCGCATCGCCCTCACCGCCTTCATCCAGCAGCACATGCTGCACTGCTGCTCTGAACAGCGCCAGGCGTGCACCACCAGCCACCATCACCGCTGCAGCCAAGTCCTTCTGTTGTGCAAACCGTTTTCGCCGTTACTGTCTGTTTTGCTTCTGTTCCTCTCCACTGCTGTTTGTTGTTGGAAGGACACACACACACACACACACACACACACACACACACACACACACACACACACACGCACACACACACACACACAGACAGACACACACACACACCAGCCAGCCAGCCAGCCATGGACGCAGTGGTGCCGTCGACAGCGGTGCTGAAACGATTGCAAGCAGCGAAGGAGCACGCGGAACAGAAGCAGCAGCAGCAGCAGCAACAACAGCAACAGCAGCAACAACAACAACAGCAACAGAAGCAGGCACAACATAGACAGCGTGGGGCGGAAGCAGAGGAGAGAGCGCCACGCCTGTTCCCGCAGTTCTTTGCGAACGCAAAGGAAGAGAGCGTGTTCGAGGCCCTGTTCAAGAAGTGGCGGGCCACCATCGACGCGCACCCGTCATATGCGACCATCCCTCGCTTCTTCTTCGGACCGCGCACCGCCAGCTCGCAAGCCAAGCCGGTCATTCCAACAGCGAGCAGCGCCACAAGCGGCGACAGCGAGGCTCACAAGAAGGCAGCCCATAAGAAGGAGGCCCACAAGCAGAGGCACCATGATACGCAATCCAGCGGCACACCAACCGCGGGCGACGCTGCGCAGCGGCTGCTGAGGGAAACGGCACACAGCTACCAGCTCCTGACGCGCCACGACCGCAGCATCACAAACGACGAGCTGCAGTTTGTGTGGGGCGTGCTGCAAGAAGAGGCTGGCGACAAGGAAACGCTCACGTACGCGCAGTTCAAGCTGTGTGCACAGCGCGTGGAGGAGGCCACGCCAAAGTTCACCGCGTTCTTCGCGCCCAACACCTTCCTTGCGCTATGCAAGGACCGGTACAACAGCGTCTCTATCAACCACTTCTTCGACCTGATCATGTACGTGGTCAACTGGAAGCAGCGCTACCTGGCACTGTGCCAGTACGCGGATGACTCTGGCGAGTTCATTGCCGAGGACGCGTTGAGTGACTTCATCGCCGACCAGCTTGGCGACATGCCTGCGCTCGCCAACCTGGCCGACTCCTTTGTGGAGACGTACCTTGTCTATGCCAGCCGCAAGTTCGTCTTTCTGCACGACCTCAAGAACAAGAAGGTGCTTGTCTGTATGTGTGTCTGCTGTGTGCATGTGTCTGTATGTGTGTGCGTGCGTGTGTGTGTATGGGTGGAGGTGTGTGAATATGTGTGTATATGGGTGTGTGCGTGTGCGTGCGTGCGCGTGTGTGCATATGTGCGTGTGTGTGCGTGTGCATGTATGTGTGTGGATGTGTGTGGATGTGCGAGAATGTACCATGTACGGTTCGACCACAACACCGCACCCTCACGCGCTCGCACATCCCCTCCGCCACCACCACAACACCCGCAGATGCGCGTGAAGGACATTCTTGTATCTGAATCGATGGAGGAGTTCTTCGAGCTGCGCCAAGAGCCGCACACCATCCCTGCCCCGCGCCTGCAGAACAACTGGTTCAGCATCCCCACCGTCCGCGACATCCACGCAGAGTACATTCGCCTCGACGCCGACGAGGATGGCATGCTCTCCAAGCAGGAGATGTTGAAGTTTCGCAAAGGGTCAATCAACCCGATGGTCATTTCTCGCATCTTCGATGTGTACAAGACGTATGGCGGCAAGCTGGACTTTCGCGCCTATTTGGACTTTGTACTTGCGCACTGGAGCATCCAGACACCGCAGGTTGGTTGATGTGTGTGTATGTTGGTTGCACGTCATTGTTTGTTGTTGCACTCACGCATGGGTGTGTGTATGTGTGTGCGAATGTGCGTGCGTGCGTGCATGTGTGCATGTGTGTGTGTGTGTGTGCTTGGTGTGCGTATTTTGGTACTCCAGCAACAGTGCCCAAGTTGTTGGCAGGCAAGCACACAGACACGCAACCACATTTCAACTCCCACTCACAACCGCAACTGCTTTTACGCGCGTGTGCGCGCGCAAACTGCAGGCCATCCGCTATTTCTTCCGCTTGTTGGACTTGGAGCACCAGCACCGCATCACCCCAGCCAACCTCTACCACTTCTTCCAGGGCATGCAGGTGTGCGCGCGCGTGTGTGCGTGTGTGTGCGTGCGTGCGCGCGCGCGCGCGTGTGTGTGTGTGTGTGCGTACGTGTGTGCGTGTGCGTGCGTGTGTGTGTGTGTGTGTGTGCGTGTGTGTGCGTGCGTGCGTGTGTGTGTGAGAGAGAGAGAGAGTGTGTGTGTGTATGTGTGTACGTTGAGGGTCATGCGCACCTTGCTCGGTTGTTGATTGCATTTGTCAATCCTGAAACACTCGGCCTTGCCTGTCTTCACGCGCCCTTCTTGTTACCACCCCCCACCCACAAACACACACACACAGCGCCATCCTCAACTCCGGGGGTTTGAGTACGCGTCGTTTGAAGACATTCGCACAGAGATTATTGATATTGTGAGTGTTACACGCCATGTTTTGCATCTTTGTTGGTGTGCCTTCATCTGGCCTTAAGGTGTCGTTTGGAAACCGATGTGAACATGACGTACAGCTTCAGTACGCAGTCAGCCTGCTCCATGCATGCACACATCCACCCGCATACATGCACAAACACACACATGCACTCACTCGCACACGCACACACGCAAACACACACATCTACGCGCTGGCAGGTGAAGCCGAAGAATGTTTTTGGGATCACGCTTGATGAGCTGATTGCGTGCGGACGAGCGGACCACGTGCTGCTGATGCTTATTGACGCAAACTACATCTTTCACAACGAGAACCTCGAGGAACCACAGCCCACGGAGGGCGATGGCACCGAGGTGGAGGAAGACACGCCCCCTCTTGGCGAGGCGTGAGTTGACGCGCACTCCCACGTGCTTGCAAGCATTTAATGAGTTATTGATGCTGCTGTTCATGTCGATTTCCGCGCTGTAACGGATGCATGTATCATATTGTGCAAAGAAGCCACCACCTCGCTTATCGATTCCTTGTACATAACAACTGTTACACATTGGTGCCGTGTGTGTGTGTGTGTGTGTGTGTCGTAATCCCTCTGTGTCAGGATGATTCACCCCATAAATGAATCAGCAGCAGCCACGTTTGACATGTTGTATCAGCGCGGTGTGCGCGCTGGGACGATAGTGAGAAGGAAGAGAAACTGAGCGAGCAAGATGCGCGTATGTATGACACACAGGGGAAAAAGCACGGTTGTGTGGGGTGTCAAGGGTGGTTTGCTTGCAAGCATTTTGCCATGTGGAGTGAAGGGATGGGTTGGTGATGTGACACAGGCAAAGGGAAACGCACGAAAACGCAGCAATAACAGCCTGGTAATCATTGGTATGACCCTCGCTGCTTGGGTTGCCGTGGATGCTGTCGTTGT